GCAGGATGGTCTTAAGCGACCCCTGTGAAAGGGTCGTTCGACTGCCAAAGGAGTCGCGACCCACAGGTTGAGAACTGCTGGACTAGGGCTTGCCTGCTCTTTTAAAGGGTGATGGCTGCTGTTGCTAGAAGGGAGGAGGATTTTTGGGCTGAAATTGAGTAAGCAACAGAGGGGCTGTCCTTGAAAAGTTTGTTTTAGTCAGGGCAGATATCCTAGGGAGGTGTGTTTATTAGTATTTGTACAAGTCTGTAAGACATTCTTAGAGCACAAGTTACAGAGTTTAAAAGGTGGGCAGATTGGGTTTGCAAGGAAGGGAGTAGAGCCCTTCTATTAACTAGAAACATTCTGGCCCTTTCTTTTAATTAGAAACTTTCCCCGGGGTCATTAGAACCCCAGGGATGGGTATACAAGAATGTCGCCTTGAAAGTAGCTTATTTTGTCTTGTAGTTTGAACAGAGGGGCTGTTGGGGTCAGAGGAGCTAACAATCTTGTGGTTTAATTACCTGGTGTTTCTCATAAATTGTGGAAGGCTATAACAAAGAAAAAGAAAGGCTTTTTTTTTTCCTATCCTTACAGCCATTATTTCTTTGGTTTTTGGTACTCCAATAAATAGACTTTCTGTAAAGAAAAAGAACGTTCTCTCAAATACATTAATTAGGTTCAACATTAATTTTTTTTTTTAAAAAAAATATATTTTATTGATTTTTTACAGAGAGGAAGGGAGAGGGATAGAGAGTTAGAAACATCAATGGGAGAGAAACATCGATCAGCTGCCTCTTGCACACCTCCTACTGGGGATGTGCCCGCAACCAAGGTGATGCCCTTGACGGGAATCGAACCTGGGACCCTTCAGTCCACAGACCGATGCTCTATCCACTGAGCCAAACCAGTCAGGGCAATTTTCCCTTCCTCTAGGGCAGTGGTTCTCAATCTTCCTAATGCCTCGACCCTTTAATATAGTTCCTCATGTTTTGGTGACCCCCAACCATAAAATTATTTTCGTTGCTACTTCATAACTGTAATTTTGCTTCTGTTATGAATCGTAATGTAAATATTTGATATGTAGGATGTGTTTTCATTGTTACAAAGTGAACATAATTAAAGCATAGTGATTAATCACAAAAACAATATGTAATTATATATGTGTTTTCCGATGATCTTAGGCGACCCCTGTGAAAAGGTTGTTCGACCCCCAAATGGGTCTTGACCCACAGGTTGAGAACCACTGCTCTAGGACATCTGAGTTTCCTCTCCTGACTTTCCCGTTAGGCTGTTCTGCTCATTACATCATTGTAGGAAAAGAAAAACCCAACTCCTTGAAATATATCCAATTTGGAGATTATGTAATGGTCTAAAATTAAAAGTGTGGGGTATATAAAATACTTTGAGGACCCAGAGTTATTCACAGATAGGCTATCACCTCTAAAGTCAGCTGAAGTAGGTTTGTGAGGCCCAGTGACCCTGGTTGGAGAAAGCAGAGGCTTCAATAGGAACTCCAAACAGAGAGGGCCGATACTTTGAGTTATAGGTGTGTGCCCACATCTGTGCGAATGCTCGCGCATGTGAGAGAGAGATGGAGAGAAAGAGAATAAGGGTAATTATTTTCCCAAAAAACTTTAGGGAGGGCAGTTATTTTAGATATAAATCTTTGATCTATCAGTTTTTTTCTTTTGTTTGATTCCTGGTTTATAGTCATTCAAGATAATTGTTAATTATGTTTATTTTCCTCAGAATAGAAATAGTTTTCTCTATGATTAAAACATTTGAAAACAAAACAAACCCTGTAATTCTGTACCCTATTTTAACCATTGTGATAGCATTTTTATAACAGTTCTTTGTCATTTTTAAAATCTAGTTTAAACATTCATAATCACATACAATTTTACATTGTATTTTGTTGTTTACATGGAAAATGCTAGTTATAATGCTTGGCACATGGTAGGCACTTAAATATTCACTAAAAATGAATTATTGACATTTTTATATAATCTTTGAACATCATCTTAAAAAATATATTTTTATTGATTTCAGAGAGAAAGGGGGAAGGAGAGAGAAAGATAGAAACATCAATGATGAGAGATAATCATTGATCGGCTGTCTCCTGTATGCCCTCTATTAGAGATTGAGCCTGCAACCCGGGCATGTGCCCTGACCAACTGGGAATCGAACCATGACCTCCTGGTTCATAGGTTGATGCTCAACCACTGAGCCACGCTGACTGGGCTTGAACATCATTTTTAATGGGCCATCTAGTGGCTATCTATAGTATAGGTCATTTTCCATTACCCTACTGTTGGATATTAAGTTATTTCTAATTTTTTTCTGTTTTAAAAATACATTGCATATTTTCATGTAGATTGCTTTCCCAGATGCATATAGCCTTTTCTATGTATAAGATTATTTTCTTAGGATAGAGTCCCAGAAATGATTATGTGCCAATTAATTATTATTCAGGGACAGACTAATAATTATGCAAGGAACAGAATACAATTGAGAAACATTTTGTTAATTATGCTGGGGAGTACAGGATAAATCTGGCTTCCACCAGGGCTGTATCAAGTTGCTCAGTTTACACATGCAGGGCTTCGTCTCTTTGCTTCCCTCTGGCTGACTCTTGCCACCTGGTGGTGAAGATGGGCATTGATAACTTTTTGTAGTTTATAATCCTGACAAAAATCTTAAGATTATTTGATTTAGATGATTTAACTATTGTCTTGTGTCTGACCCTCAACCAATGAATTGCAATGGCCAAAGATGTGAAGTACCTTTTTTTTTAAATTTGAGAGAGAGAGGAAGGGACAGAGAGAAACATCAATTTGTTGTTCCACTTATTTATGCATTCATTGGTTGATTCTTATATGTACCCTGACCCAGGATCGAACCTACAACCTTGGCATATTGGGATGCTGCTGTAACTACCTGAGCTACTCAGCTGGGGCATAAAGTGCCTTGATTGACTAAGCCTGGGTTAATGTGCCCACAATTGGGGGTTAGGTCAGCTCCAACCAAATTACATGGACTGACCAGATTACTTTAGAATATAATAAAGATGTTTTCTCAGGAAAGGACCTTGGCAGACAGGAAAAGGATATCTGTTGTAAATGTTTTATTAAGTATCAGTAATTTAATAATTATTGCAGATTTTAATTATTTTAAAATTAATTTTATTTAATGCTTTATCACTCTTGATAGCCATTGGTAAATGATTTCTAAAAATTCATACTAATCTTAGCAATATTTATTATTTTAATATACTCTAATTAACTTTGGGTATTGTTATTTTCTAAATATTTTGCTAATTTAATAGATTAAAAATTGTACTTTATATTTCCTTTTTTCACTTAACATCTATGATAATTATCTTTTACTAGAGGCCCAGTGCACGAAATTCATGCACGGGGGTCCCTCAGTCCGATCTGCATCCTCTCTAATCCAGGACCCCTTGGGGGATGTCCGACTGTCTCTTGTGATCTGGGACCGCTGGCTCCTAACTGCTCGCCTGCCTGATCACCCCTAACCACCTCTGCCTGCCTGCCTTATCGCCCCTAACTGCTCCCCTACCAGCCTGATCGCCCCTAACTGCCTCTGCCTTGCCCTGCACCCAGGACCTAGGATTCCCTCCTCTGGCCGGTCACAGGCACCCTGGACCTAGGTTTCCCTCCCTCTGGCCAGCTGCAGGCACCCAGGACCTGGGCCGGCTTCGCCCAGGCTGCATCTGCAGGCACCCGGGACTGTCGGGCAGGTGGCTAGTCCCTCTCCTGGGCCGCAGCTGCAGGTGCTGGCGCCCGGGACTGTGGGGCGGGCAGCTTATCCCCCTCCCGGGCCGCAGGCGCAGCCACTGGCACCCAGGACCGCCAGGCAGGCGGCTTATCCCTCTCCCAGGCCGCAGCCTGGCTGGTCCCCATTCCTCTCTCCCCAGTGTTGAGTGTCTGAATGGTTAAGGCATGATGGCATGAGGACGTGATGACCATTTCATATTAGTTCTTTATTATATAGGATAACTGTAATTTAAATAGCTGCTTTGATAGATTTACCATTACCAAGCTATTTTTCAATTCTTGAACATTTAGGTTATTTTTTTAAAATATATTTTATTGATTTTTTACAGAGAGGAAGGGAGAGGGATAGAGAGTTAGAAACATCGATGAGAGAGAAACATCGATCAGCTGCCTCCTGCACACCCCCAACTGGGGATGTGCCTGCAACCAAGGTACATGCCCTTGACCAGAATCGAACCTGGGACCGTTCAGTCCGCAGGCTGACACTCTATCCACTGAGCCAAACTGGTCAGGGCGACATTTGGGTTATTTAAAAAATTTTATTTTTAACCTTTGTAGCTAATAATACTGCAAGTATTTTTTTTTTTCCTGCAAGTATTTTTATATGCCCATAGATTTTGCCTCTATGAGGTTTTTCTTTTGGAAAAATTTCAATGATATTTTTGCATCAAAGGTATAAACATCTTTTTTAAAGCTCTTTGCTTTAAAGCTCTTTGCTTTAAAGAATTTTACCAACTTGTATTTTTATTGTATAGTTATTGTATCATATTTTACCAACATTGAATACTATTTTAAAGACTATTTGTTAGTTGATTAGATATAAAAAGTGATCTCAAATAGTTTTAATTTTAAATTTTAAATTAATGACTTTTTTTTTTTAATATATTTTATTGATTTTTCACAGAGAGGAAGGGAGAGAGATAGAGAGTTAGAAACATTGATGAGAGAGAAACATCGATCAGCTGCCTCCTGCACATCTCCCACCGGGGATGTGCCCGCAACCCAGGTACATGCCCTTGACTGGAATTGAACCTGGGACCTTTCAGTCCACAGGCCGACGCTCTATCCACTGAGCCAAACCGGTTTCGGCAATGACTTCTTTTAGTGAATTCCCAACTTCCATCTTCTTGTTACCTTGTTATTTAGAGTATAAACACCAGACATAGAGCATCACATCAGACATACCTTGTGCTTTGTTTTATTTCTTTTTCTTGTGCCCAGGTCTGGTCCATCGAACTCACATGTCATCCTGTCGTGTGGATAAGCCTTCTGAAATAGTAGATGTTGGAGACAAAGTATGGGTGAAGCTTATTGGCCGAGAGGTAAAGTTCTGTGTTAATTTCATCTCGTTAGAAAGGATTAGGAAAAGCCAGGGTTTTCTTGGTATTTTATGATGGTGAGTGTGTATATGCTGTTAATTGTGGCTGAGAATCTTATTTTGAATCCTGCCCCATAATCTGTCCTGAATATAAACCTTCTGGCTGGTTCTCCTCTCAAACTGAGAAGGAATGGTGTGAACTACTATAAGTGTAGCACAAAAAGACATAGAGTTTACAGTCACTTTTCCTAATACCTGGCACCATGCGACATGAGGAAAGTGAGAAAGCTCTGAAGAACCCTGTTACAGTTCACTTTAGGGTAAGTGGGCTGTGGGTCATTCATTCATACGTAATTTTAAAATTTTTATTTTTAACCTTTGTAGGTAATAATACTGCAAGTAATTTTATATGCCCATAGGTTTATGGGAAGACCACAGGAGAAATATGAACATGTACTGAGCCCTGCTCTGCTACCAGGGGAGACAGCCTGAAAGAGATACTATTCAACAGTATTTGAGTGCTTAATGTGCATTAGTTCTGAGGGATATAAGAGTGAACTAGACATAGATGACCCCAGCTATTATAGAGCTTATATAGAATATAACGAGGAGAGAAAGAAAAAGTAAACAAATTAAAATAATTAAAAATTATGGTAAGTGCTATAATGGGTTCAAACAGTATCAGAAGTAGGCTTAGATAAAGTTGTCAGGAATGGGCTTTCTGAGGAGATGGAGTGTGAGCTGGGAAGGAAGTAGTCATGAAAAGTTGGGATAAGGATATTCTAGATAGAGAATAGCTGGTCAAAGACCCTGAAGTGAAGAAGGGCTTCAGATGCTGGAGGAAGCCAAAGAAGACCAATGTGGTTAACAATTGTCCTCATGTTTGTAGAGGTTCTAGACCAAGTCCAAAAGGAGATCTAGCCTATTGGAATATTCTGAAACTCATTCTGGGCTCATGGATCTCTGCATTAATCATTATGCTGAATTTACCTGAAGAAACAGCTTTTCTTTTCTGCTGGGTTACTTCGACAGACCTTGGATTTGGGGACAACCATTTTTGTCTTTCCCCCCAAGAGGGGCAAAAAGCGATGAAAACCATTTCCTAAAATCCTATCACAGAGCCTGCCTATTATGCTTGTTAGCACCACCAGTGCTTTTAGCACAGGACCTTGGCTATTAGAGGAGTACTGTTTGTTATGATGACAAAAATTTCTATTCTTAGATAATTCTAGATCAGTGGTCTAAATGATGTACTTTGAGCTTTTGATGACTTTGTTTTCATCTTTTTCAGATGAAAAATGATAGGATAAAAGTATCTCTCTCCATGAAAGTTGTCAACCAAGGGACTGGGAAGGACCTTGACCCCAACAACGTTATCATTGAGTAGGTAAAAGGTTTGGAAAGGCTAACATTCTTCTACCTCTCAAACCATGGAGTGCTGTAGTGAATCAGGCTGACGGGAAACCCTGCCATTTATAGGCTGTGTATTGATGAGCTCTAAACCTTTATGTCCTTGGTTTTTAGAGGTATAGTGTTATATAAAACACTTGTAACATGCAAAGTTCCTAGCACAGAAGTGCTCCGTTGTGGGTTTTGTTTCTTTTCCCTTACTCTTTTTCTGCTTCTGCCCTTTAGCCAGTCAGCAAGCAAGTATTCATGAAGTACCTGTTATTTGCCACTCTCCTAGTACTGGGACTGAAAAAGGAAGATACCAAATGGGAGGGGAGGGTAATCTAGAAGCAACTCCAATAGGGTTTAGATCCCTGTGTCTTGGGATGCACTGTATTCTGAACACTACATCTTACTTTCATTGGCTCTTCTTTTTTTTTTAATTTTATTGATTTCAGAGAGAAAGGGAGAGGGAAAGAGAGAGAAACATCAATGATGAGAGAGAATCATTGATCAGCTGCCTCTTGCATGCCCCCTACTGGGGATCGAGCCCACAACCCGGGCATGTGCCCTTGACCAGAATTGAACCCGGGACCCTTTAGTCCACAGGCCAATGCTCTATACATTGAGCCAAATCAGCTAGGGCTCATTGGCTCTTCTGACCTTTAATTTGGCAGTGGAAGATTTTCTATTTATGTAGGATAATGTCTGGTGATACAGGGAATTTACCATCTGTATTTCTTGACTATATGCCAGTGATTTCTAACCAGGGGCTCCTAGATCCTTCTTTGTTGTTGTTCTTTTTTATTTTCTACTAGAGGCCCGGTGCACAAAATTCATACGGGGGTGGTGGTGTCCCCTCAGCCCAGCCTGCACCCTCTCCAATCCGGGATCCCTCTCACAATCCTGGACTGCTGGCTCCTAATCACCCACCTGACTGCCTGCCTGCCAGGTCACCCCTAACTGCCTCTGTGTGCCGGCCTGGTTGTCCCTAACTGCTCCCTCGCTCCTGGCCAGGTTGCCCCCAGCTGCCCCATCCCTGCTGGCCTGGTCACTTCTAACTGCCCCTCCCCTCCAGCCTGATCACCCCTAACACCCGCCCTCCTCCCGCTGGCCTGGTTGCCCCTCACGGCCCCCCCACCAGCCTGGTCGCCCCATGCAGCCTGCTTATTCAGTCATTTGGTCGTCCCTCACTAACCCTCCTGCTGTCCTGGTCGTATGCAGCCATCTTGTGAGGGTGTGATGGTCAATTTACATGTTGCCTCTTTATTATATAGGGTTTCCCTCCCTAGATCCTTAAAAACCTCTTCAAAAGGAGTCTTGGGGATTTATGAACTGTTTCCAGTGTTTCAGAAAGCCAACCAAAATCATACATTTATCCTCATGTTAACCATGACATTATGTTGTTGCTTTTGATGATAAAGTATCATATTTACCTCATACTAATCAGGTTGCTCTCAGTGATAGTTATGATACCAATTTTTAGAAAACAGCCCTGATGGGTTTGGCTCAGTGGATAGAGTGTTGGCCTGAGGACTGAAAGGTCCCAGGTTCGATTCCGGTCAAGGGCACGTATCTTGGTTGCAGGCACATCCCCGGGGGGGGGGGTGTGCACGAGGCAGCTGATCGATGTTTCTCTCATCAATGTTTCTAACTCTCTATCCCTCTCCCTTCCTCTCTGTAAAAAGTCAATAAAATATATTTAATAAAAAAAAAAAAAAAAAAAAAAAAAAACAGGAAAAAAAAGTTGCATGAGTGATATCTTGGTGGTGAAAAGTTTGGAAACCCTATGTTTATTGTACTCAGTGAAATCACCTTGGATATGAAGGTATTTTACCTAAAAGGAAGAGAAGTGGTATTTATTGAATACATACTATATGCCAGGTATTGTGCAAGGCAGTTTATGTATATTAGTGCATCCGATTCTCATAACAACCTGCAAAGTAGATATTTTCTCCATTTTACTTTATCTCTCTAGTCTCTAACTTGATGCTTAGTAATAACTTGCTTAGGGTTTCATAGCAAATCATAGTGGGTTAGGATTTTTAATCTCAGTCTCCCTGACATTAAGGCTAAGCCCCTTTATACTACATGATGCTTCTAGCAGTTGCATGCAACTTACAGAGTTTTTCATATATCTCTAAATATTGACATGTTTGTAGGGCTGATTATTGACAAAACACTTTCCATTTATGGTAGGAATCTTTTATAACTCTGCTCAGAAATGTTATCTGATTCTGGCATTTATCAAAATTGCATTATAATAAATTCCTTCTGTTCCAAATAATTTTATGCTATGCAGCCTCATTAAAAAGCAGTGAAATTTCCTAAAGGCACCCTTGTAAGGGTAAAATATGAAAATAAGTAAGACAATAGAGCTACCTCTCTATCAAAACAAGAGTAGAGAAGGGAAAGGGCTCCCTGGGTTTATGCTGGATGTGTTTCCATGTATAGACTGTTTCTAGTAATAACCAAGTGGAAATAGTACTTTGTTGTAAACTGTTCATATAGCTGCATCCAGGAAAGAAGCATTGCTTGGTGAAATGATGACGGGTTTTAGAGTTAGACTTGAATCAGAAAGAGCTCTAGTTCTGCCCCAAAGTAGTATGACTTTGAGCAGATTACCTAGCCTCCCTGGACCATAACTTCTTCACTATAAAATGACACCTACCTCTCAGAAATGATAGAATGATTTAAATAAAATCTTGTTTGTAAAGAGCCTAGCTTATTGTCTGGTCTATCATAGAAACTTAATTTATAATAGCTAATTGTGGTTACTGTTTTAAAATGTCTCTTTGTTTTTCTTCTAATATCTGAAATTATCATATCTTGTCTTTTGAAAGAATCGATAAGAGCCATGAGAAAATGGGCTACATCATAACCTTATCTCCCATAGTACCTGATGTATAGCAGTCAGTTAGGTAGTACATCCACTTATTCCTTTATTCAACAAGTGTTTGTTGGGGTCATATTCTGTTTGAGGTACAATGGCAATACCAAGATTTCTGCCCAAGGACCTCCCTGCCTACTGTAATGAAATAATTATGCAAATAACTTTAATATAAGGCAACATGTAATAAGTGCTAAAAGAATGGTAGAAAGAAAGGATTCTAGTCCTGGCCCAGTGTCGCTCAGTAGGTTGGAGCATCTTCCTGTACACCGAAAGGTCAGGGGTTTGATTCCCAGTCAGGGCACATATCTACGTTGTAAGTTCAATCCCTGTTTGGGGCATGGAAGGCAACCAATGTTTCTCTCTCCCTCTCCCTCCCTCACTCCCTTCCCTCTCTCTAAAATATCAATGAGCATGTCCTTGGGTGAAGATTAAAAATAAAGAAAGAAAGTAAGTATTCTAGGAATTAGCGTGAAGAGAAAGAGTTGATTTAAGGCCCTGGTGATCAGAGAAGAAGTGGCATTTGAGCTAGGCCTTGAGGAATGGATAAGATTTTTTCAGGCAGCAGGGGAAGGAATGGCATTCAAGGCAGTAGAAATGGTTTGAGGAGCCTGGCCATTGTGGTTCAGTGGTTGAGCATCAACCCAGGAATCAAGAGGTGTCCATCTGGAGAAAGTAAAGTAGTCTGGTTTGGCTAGAGTAGTGGTTCTCAACCTTCTGGCCCTTTAAATACAGTTCCTCATGTTGTGACCCAACCATAAAATTATTTTCGTTGCTACTACATAACTGTAATGTTGCTACTGTTATGAATCGTAATGTAAATATCTGATATGCAGGATGGTCTTAGGCGACACCTGTGAAAGGGTCGTTCGACCGACAAAGGGGTCGCGACCCACACGCTGGGCTAGAGCCTATTGTACAAGTAAAGATGAAGCTGGAAAAGTAGGTTTGACGGTAAAAGGACTTGAATGCCAAAGGAAGGAATTTGGACTTGATTTTCCAGGAAGTCTTTGAAGGTCTTTTAAATCCAGGAGTGACTTTGTAAAGGTTGTAGGGGACTTAGCAAGGTGCATAATTATCTCTTTATCCTCTGTGCATCAATGAGATGAAGTGTAGTTTTATTCATAATTATTAATTCAGACCCTTGTCCTGAATGAAAAAAAATGTTCTATTTCACACCATTGCTTTTATTGCCCATCTCCTTATGCCCAACACTTTTCCTTCTTTCTCCCTTCCACCTGCCAAAAGCAAAAGAAAAAACCAACATACAGCATTACCTTGTAATATCTCTGGCCACATCTCTTAATCAGGCCAATAGTCACAGTATCCTTTTCATTACAGGCAAGAAGAGAGGCGGAGGCGGTCCTTCCAGGATTACACTGGGCAGAAAATCACCCTTGAGGCTGTCCTGAACACTACCTGCAAAAAGTGTGGCTGCAAAGGTAAGGTGAAGCCTCTGCCATTTCAGTTTGTCAGTCCTTGTGGGCGGACCCTGTGCTAGATGAGCAGCCTAGTGAGTTTAGTTCACCCTGTTTTTAAGCCAGGTGATGGCTTGACCTGTTCATGCTGTTATTCCTACTAGACTTACATCAGAGTTCATGGCTTGCTACTTTTTCTGTTTCCTTTTCTGAATGCTAGCCCTGGTGGTGACACTGTTAAACTGTCACCACCTCTTCTCACCTCTCTGCAGCTAATGCCCTACCTGGGCAAGGCCCCAGGTACTCTGCCAGGAAGGTAAGAGTGTTGGATTATGATTAACTCTCTAAATTTTATCTCCAAAGGATTGTTATTATTCTGCTGCAAGAATTAAGAAACTTAGAAATATATTCCTTAAGGAATCAAGTTAAACCCTTTCTTGCTCATCTCTTTAACTTCAGAGTTCTGAATGCAGTATCCTCTTAGTAATAAAGAACACACCCTAGTCATTTTCTTTTAGCTCTGCTTCCTCAGGTTTCCTCTAGTCTTACTCAAATATTAAAGAGCTCTTTCAGCCTGACTTCCTTGTTGGAGCTGTAATGAGAGGGGTTGCCAACTTCTCATTTCAGAGTGGCCTCAATTTGTTACCACTTCTCCCGAGCCTTCTATCTACCTAGCCTTGTTGATTCTTCTACAGCGACTGGTGACATATTTGTGCCCTGGTTGAGGTTGTGGGGTTTAAGCTGCTATTTATCATTAATGTAGAGGGAAGAAAGAAAAGTAAAATGGAGAGAAAGAATACCTCCTCGGGGGAATTGTGGGAGCATTCCAAATATTTGGAAAACTAGGCTGTATTCTTCTTCCAGGAACCAATCCAGCTTCTGGATTCAGAGTTACAAAGTCGTTTACATGTTGCTTTTGATGGCTTTATCCAATTCTGTGTGCCCCTGAGATAGGGTCTACAGTAAGCACAGGCAAAACCAGCTCTATAGCCTCTGTTAAAGGGGCCCTTGATAGCACTGTAGGCTCAGGGAAGATGGTGTCTTCTTACCTTCAACTTGTGTCCACCAAGTATAACATGAGGCAGAGAAGAATAATGAGAGATGGAATTTGGCCCACTCAGCAAAGGCTGGGCCAAAGGTGGTTGGTTTTGGTGCAGCAGAAAGAGTACAGGGCAGGGGGGCACAAGACCCTAGGTTAGTTTTACTTCTGCTGTTCTCTGTGTGACCTTACACTACTTCTCTACTCTGGGCCTTCATATCCTCTGCAAATGCAATGTTGTATTTGATTATCTCTAAGGCCCTTGCCAGACCTGACAGTCTGTGCATGTCAAGTGCCCTAGGTGACCATGCCTGTCTCTCTGTGTGTTAGCTTGGATGCTGCCTTCCTGCCAGCTGCCTGAGAGCTATCTTTCTTCAGGACCTTGGTCTGCCACTTGGCTCACTCTGCTAACCATTCTGCTCTCTGGAACAGCCTTTTGTTGTCAGAAATAAGTTCCAAATAGGTCTTTAAAAATTAAGCTTCATTGCTAATAGAGGGCAGTACCAGCCTGCATGCTCATCTGTATCTTCTGCCATTTCCAAAGCAGTGCCAGTGTTTCCCACAGCTTTAGGACCAGCTACAAGGCTGGCTCTGGTTGAGTGAGCAATGCCATCTTGAGGTGACAGAAAATCTGTTCTGAATCCAATAGCTGCTCTGAATGAACTCGGTAATACCTCCTGAACCAGCTAGCCCTTCCAGGACCCTCTGGGGAAGATCCACCTGCTGAGAGGAACGACTGCTTTCTCCTCCCAACTTTTCTGCTTCACTTCTGCAGGCCACTTTGCAAAGGATTGTTTCATGCAACCAGGTGGGACCAAATACTCTCTGATACCTGATGAGGATGAGGAGAAGGTAGAGGCAAAGGCAGCAGATTTTGATAAGCCTGACCCTACGAAGAATTCTAGGAAAAGAAAGAAGGTGAGTGCTATCTTGCTTTATTTATCATATAAATAGATATGTTTTAGAATGTAAATGTACTTTGCACAGAAATGTAAAAAATGCTGAAAAACATAAAGAATATTAGGATCTCGTGTAATCTTTCTACCCAGGGAAACTCTTATAGTATTTTTGGATGTTCTAATGTTTTTTATAGGTAATAATTAATATATACACACACTCTTATACATATATACACAAAATTATGGTCATCCTAGGCATAACTTATATCTTACTTATTTTATTATACTTACTAAAAGCATTTTCTGTTGTCCTTATTTGTTCTTCAAAAACTTGATTTAAGAGCCACTGTGTGATTTTTTTTTTTGATGTCAGGAGTGGAATAATGTTTTATTTAATAACTAGAGGCCCGATGCATGACATTTGTGCAAGGGTAGGCCCTCACAGCCGTGCAGGCTGCTGCCTTGGCCCTAGCAGCCCCGGCTTCGTCTGGAAGGTTGTCGGGATAGTTGTTCTGCTGTTCGGTCTAGTTAGCATATTAGCTCTTTATTATATAGGATTTTTCTATTGTTGGATATTTTTTATTATTTCCAACCTAAATTTGCCACATATCTTATTGTTTTCTTTGGTTACATTCTTAAAAAGATTACTGAATTAGGGCTTTAAGGCTCTAGATACATTTTGTCAAACTGTTATTCCAGAAAGTGGTGGATGAGAGTGTCTGTCTCAGTGAGTTCTGTCTCTTACCTACTACTTACAGCAGAAGAATTCATAAAACAGACATTGTGGTGCACAAAAACTGCATTTGTAATTTGTCACATGATACACAGAGAAAATGAAAAACTATGCAACGGTTTGGTCAGGATATACTGGTTCTCATGTTGTGCAGTATTTTTCTAATTGTGGCCAGTTATTACATTTGGGGGTTTGGTTTTGTTTTGTTTAAAGCTTTAGCAAACTTTTGTTGTGGTCAACTTGTTCCAGGCATTGCAAACCTAGGAATACAAAAACTGTGATCAAACCCTTGCTCTCGTGTGCATTATCTACAAATTAAGTATTATCTTCACCCTGGCTGGCATGGCTCAGTGGTTAGAGTGTCGGCCTGCCAACCGAAGGGTCTCAGGTTCGATACTGTCAAAGGCACATACCTGGGTTGCAGGTTCCCTCCCCAGGTTGGGTTGCATGTGAGAGGCAATCAGTTGATATGGCTCTCTCACATCAATGTTTTTCTCTCTCTCCTCTCTCTATCCCCCCCTCTTCCACTTTCTCTAAAAATCAATGGAAAAAATATCCTCGTGTGAGGATCAACAAAAATAAACAAATAAATAAGTGTCCTCCAGTGAGGATTAACCAAAAAAAAAAGTCTTTATTCTATAGGTGAGGAAAAGGGTGTATTTTAACATTATAAGAATTAGCCAAATATATTAATAATAATTTATTGATCTGTATTTTCTCTCCCTAGCAACAGACTTTGTCTCCATGATACCTAACTAGTATCTCAAACTTTGGCTTGGAGTCTATCAGATGTAAATTTGAGACCCATACCAGCTATGTAATTTTGGGCTCTTTAACTTCAATTAATTTTCAAAGTGGGATTGTTCTGGTCTTTGATGAGAGTGTTCCTTGCAGAGGGATACCCAGCTCCCAAAAATAGATATAAAGTACTGACAAATAAGTGCTTAATTAATGTTGGCCATTAGCTCTTCTTTAGCCCTCCTTCCTACACACACACACACACACACACACACACACACTCACTCACCCCCATCACCATAAAAACAACAACCCAAACTCTGGTTTCTGTCCTTCTGTCTTGCGTTACTTGTTTTAATGATACCTTAATTATATTTTTTCCACTCCCACTGCTACTCTGCATTTCATCCCCTCACAACTCTCCCATTTAGACTGTTGAACTAGCTTAGGGAGATTTTAAAAATGTATATTTTGTTGTCAACCTCTTAGTATCAAGGTCAGCAGCCCCCAGGGTCAGAACCATCCCCGCTGACAGCAGTGGCACTGTCTCTGCAGCAGATGTGCACTGAACCTCGCCAGGGGCCATGGCTAAACCCGCCCACCTGGCCCCACCCTGGCCCAGCTCCCACCCGCTCCAGAAGATTGGAGCCCTGCCCTGAGCACATACAGCTGCGAAAGGGCCACATACAATTTAAAGAATGGTGCCAAGCAGGGAGGTTTGACAGTTACTCCCTCTTTGGCCTCGCTGCCCCCTAGTGCCCCACCAACCAGTGCCTCCAGGGACGACCACCGCTACAGGGCTGCTGGCCAGAGCCTGCCCCTCCGAGGCCTGCGGAACCCTCTGCAAAGGTTCGATAGCTACAGTCCCAGGAAACAATCATGTCCTCCTCCCCTAATCAGCACCTGCTACCTGTAAGGGTACCCGTGGGCTTAAAAATAACAATCCCTTCCCATTTAGACATCACTTACTTGATTAAACATTTCTAGGTTTATTAGCTCAAAACCTCCTCATGACAACCCAGTGAGGTAGACAGAGAAGAGATTACAATTTCCATGGTATATGTGTATGTATTCAGAAATGAAGCTCAGAGAGGAAAAGTGGCAAGCCCAGTGGTTCCCAAGATGCAGTACACACCCCACAGGGGGGGCAATTTGATTTTAAGTGGGGGCAATTCGAGAATGAGTTAACAGTGACTTTTTTGCATTTCTTATGGTTCTAGGGGCCCTTATCTATAGTGTATCCTATATAATGAAAGGCTAATATGCAAATGACCGAATGGTGGAATGACCGGTCATTATGATGCGCACTGACCACCAGGGGCAGACACTCAATGCAGGAGCTGCCCCCTGGAGGTCAGTGTGCTCCCACAGGGGGAGTGCCGCTCAGCCAGAAGCAGGGCTCACGGTTGGCAAGCACAGTGGCAGTGGTGGGAGCCTCTCCTGCCTCCTTGGCAATGCTAAGGATGTCTGACTAATGGCTTAGTGGGCTTAAACCATCAGTCGGACATCCCCCCAGGCCTCCTGGACTGCAAGAGGGCGCAGGCCCGGCTGAGGGCCCCCCCCCCGAAGTGCACGAATTTCGTGCACTGGGCCTCTAGTACATAATAAAAGGCTAATACGCAAATTGACTGACCCACAGAATGACCATTTGCTAAGACGTGCACTGACCACCAGGGGGCAGATGCTCAACACAGGAGCTGCCCCCTGGTAGTGCACTCCCACAGGGGGAGCACTGCTCAATCAGAAGCCAGGCTCATGGCCCACTAAGCCTAAGCCATCAGTCGGACATCCCCTGAGGGCTCCTGGACTGCGAGAGGGCGCAGGCCCAGGCTGAGGGACCTGCCCCCCCTCCCCCAAGTGCATGAATCTTGTGCACCAGGCCTCTAGTTGAAATATAAAACAAAAGAAAGGCAGTTCATAATCTGACTATTTTACCAGAATTACATTATTGTGGCACATATTTTCTACCAGCTGTTTTCCAAATGTTTTATCTAGGTGTAATAAAAATGTATGTATAGTTTTGTTTTCTGCTTTTTTACTTAGTCATAAGTATCTTTCCGTTTTTATCACATAGTCTCAATTCCACTTATTTGAAATGGCTGTACCATATTATATCAGGTAGGTGCTGGGGAATTGCATTTTTGGAGGCAGTTAAGGGTGGTACTTAAGAACCTGGGCAGAGGAAACAGACTGGCCATGTTTCATCACAGCTCTGTCCTCTCCTCATTGTGGAAGTTAGGCTAATTACTGAATTTCTTTGTTTCCTTATTTGTGAAATAGGAATAATAAGCATCAACTTTATAAAGTTATTAGGATGCATGTAAAACTCTGAGTACAGTGCCAGGCATACAGCAAAGCTCAATGTAAGTCAGCTACTAGTAGCTGTTGCTTAAAAACAGAGACTTTGTGGTCAGAGACTGGGTTTAAGTACAGACCTTGGGTTCAGGGTGCTCTTTATATATTCTAGATATCAATCCCTTATCGTTATATGACTTGCAAATATTTTCTCTCATTCTTGGATTGCCTTTTTACTCTGTTGCTAGAATGTTGTCTCCATACACCAAGGTTGGGGGTTCAATCTCTAGTCAGGGCACATCCAGGAAGCCACCAATGAATGCATAAATAAGTGAAACAACAACTCGATGGATGTTTCTCAAAAGAAAAAAAAAAATTGCCAAATCATGTCATGAAGCTTAAGAGTTTTATAGTTTTAACTCTTTTTCATAATTTTTTTCCTTATTGATTGATTTGAGAGAAAGAAAGAGGGAGAGAGAAAGAAATAAAGAAAGATTGATATTTGTTGCTCTACTTACTTATGCATTCATTGGTTGCTTCCTGTATGTGCCCTGACTGGAGATTAAACCTGCAACCTTTGCATATCAGGACAACACTCTAACCAGTTGAGCCTGGCTATGACTATAGTTTTAACTTTACATTTAGTTTTTTTATCCATTTTGAGGTTTATTTATTTATTTTTTTTGGTTTTTTTTGGGGGGGTGTTTTTTTGTATATAGTGTAAAGTAAGGGTCCAACTTCATTATTTTTACATGAGGCTATCCAGTTTTCCTATCACCCTTTATTGAAAAGACTGTTCTTTCCCTATTGAATGGTCTTGGCATCCTTGTTGAAAAATCATTTAACTATATACCTGAGGGTTTATTTCTTACTCTCTGATCTATTCCATTGGTCTAGATGTCTGTCTTTATGCTAGTGCAACACTGTTTTGACTATTCTTTGTAGGAAGTTTTGAAATCAGGAAATATAAGTTTCCTAACTTTATTCTTCTTTTTCAAGATTATTTTGTGTATTTGGGGTTCCTTGAGATTCTGTATGAATTTTAATATGTATTTCCTATTTCTACAAAAATGTCATTGAGATTTTGATAGACATATCAAATGTATAGATTGCTTTGTGCATTATTGACATCTTAATCCATGAACACAGATGTATTTTTTTTCATTTATTTGTATTGTCTTTTGATTTCTTTCAGCAGCGTTTTATAGTTTTCAGAGTACCAGTCTTTTGCCTCCTTAGTTTATTCCTAAATATGTTATTCTTTTTTTTTTTAATATAGTTTATTGATTTTTTTACAGAGAGGAAGGGAGAGGGATAGAAACATCAATGAGAGAGAAACATCGATCAGCTGCCTCCTGCACACCTCCTACTGGGGATGTGCCCGCAACCAAGGTACATGCCCTTGACCGGAATTGAACCTGGGACTTTTCAGTCCGCAGACCAACGCTCCATCCACTGAGCCAAACCGGTTAGGGCTATGTTATTCTTTTTGATGTTACTGTAAATGGAGTTGTTTTCTTAATTTTGTTTTTGGATTGCTCATTGTTAATGTCTAGAAATGCAACTGATTTGGGAGTGTTGATTTTTGTATTCTGCAGCTTTGTTGAATTCACTTATTAGTTCTAACAGGGTTTTTTTTTGGTGTGGGATCTTTAGGATTTTTTGCTTATGAGATGATGTCTACAAACAAGTAATTTTCTTTAGTAGAGCTAGATTTTTTAACTCTAATTTTATTTATATGTTCCAGGAATTTTTCTTTCTCTTTTAACCTTTCAGGTTCTTAATGGTATTTGCCAGAATCCTAAAGTGGTTCTATGGATATCTCATTTCTGTGGACCTTTGGTTAGTTGTTTTTGCATTGCTTAATACACCTGGTGCAATTAGTTATTGCTTTGCTTCTAAGGCTTCTTTGAGATACATATTTCAGTTTTCTAAAACAATTACCTAACATCTGCTAGATACGAAGCTCTATATGACCTGCTTAGTGATTATCCTACCCTCCATCGCTCTTCACTTATTAGAGGAATGGTCTATGAACAATGGCAGTAATAATCATCATAACGAAAGTTAAAATACCTTTGTGTATATGAACTTCTAACTCATGAGTCCACTTTGTTTAAAAAGTGTTCTAGGGATTTGAAACCATTAAAACTTCCCCCTTGATGTCTACTGTTTTTCCCAAGATATCATCTAGTATCATCTTTTCATCTCATTGTTAATCCCTTCATTATCTTTTATGCCTTACATAAAATACTTGTTTATTTTTATTCTGTTATAGAACTCTATAATTCTGTTATTATGCCACAGTTTTAGATATTAGGAAAATGGAGATTAAGCAAAGTGTCTCTCTGACCTGAAGTCACACAACTATAAGAGACAGTGCTGAAATATGAACCCATGTCTTCAGATTACTAACCCAATATTCTTTTTTTGTATACCACACTTCAACCATTAATTCATTTAGCTCTTCAATTATTTATTTACTCAACAAATATGTATTGAGTGTCTCACATGGATCTGTTTTGTATTGTGTTAGGTGCTCGAGATATCGGGACTCAGCGGGCACTTCTTTGCTAGTTTTTGCTCTGTCACCAACTACTTTTAGCAACCATTTGATGTTATCTTTTGTTCACAACTGTAAATCAAGATTCTAGGCCTCCTGTTTGTTTTCTTTTACCCTCTAAATCTTTGATTCCAACAGGAGGTTGGTTTCCGTATCAGTAAAATCTTCTAATTCAGCTGGATGTTTTGGAGTGTGTAAGAATGTTAGATTCGGATACCTGTTCTAACACGAGTTGACTGGGAGCCAAATGTGGAACTGAGTAGGTGCATCTGAAGAGGAATGCCTTCCACAGTCCATGTTGCCAAATAAGATTGTGGGTAGCAGGAATGCCTAGTGTGTGGAAGACATATATGGTGGACAACTCACTTACAGTGAAATAAAGGTCATACATAGCACCTACACTCAAGCAGCTAATCACATAAGGAGAACGATAAGCAGCCAAAGTATATCTGGTGGCAAAGGACAGACACTCACTACAAGGGGATTATTGGATCTCCTAGAAATCCAACGATAGGCAGTGAAGTATAGCTGGGCCACCCAGAACTGGAATCAGAAAGGAACAGGCTAGTGGGCTCTCATCTCTGCTACTTCACGTGACTGCTTCATTGTCCCACTTTCTGCAGTCTGGTGGAAGGGAATGCTTAATGTAAAACCTCTAAGGCAGGAGGAGGTGCTAGGCATGTTCGGGAACCAGGAAATGGCCCAGGATAAAGAAAGGATGTCACCTGTTCCGAATAATGGCTGGCACATAATAGGCATGCACTAGCTACCTTTGAATAGTCTCCATGATCTCTGCTATCTGTATAGCTCCTCCGGTTCCATAGCTCAGTGAAACCTGCCCTCAGTTTGGAGAGTAATGGGGACTGACTCCTACTGCTGCTTGTAGGTAGTAATGAAGGGAGCTTCTAGTCCTGAGCCCCCCAACTCTTTATCCCCCAACTCTTTTTAAAAAGGTGAAAGATTTGTGGGATCCGAAGAGAAACCAGATTATCCCCCCCAAACTCTTTTTATCAAGTATGCATGTATTGAATGTATACCCTTGTCCAAAAATCTAGTATGCATCGGTTTAGTTCTACATACCAATTTGGTACCACGACAATTTTTGTTCCAGTGTCTGAAAACTGTAAGTGATTTTTGTTGGGCATAATTAGGACAAGAGGAAACTGTTTTTCAAATGGAAATGGGATATGAAGTGGTTGGCAAAATTCGAATAGAGGTTTTTGTAATGAAGCACTGAAAATTTTTCCATGAACCTGTGGTCAGGGCTTTGCTGGCCTCTTTTACTTGTCATATGCCATCATGAGTCTTTCTGAATCAGTGCTATATTTTGAGGAAGCATGTGCCTCGGGTAACAGGCTGTCCACTGATTATAGTGAATTTTAGCTATGTTTGATCCAGAATATAATTTTATTCTTTTGATGTGGCTACTATAATTACTTTCTGCTGAATTATATATGGAAGAACAGAAATAGGAATGTCATCCCTTGGTTGCAATGCTGGCTCTGTCCTGTTGTCCAGAGAACTTCTGGTGGCCATATGAGAGAGAGATTGCCAGTCCTGGGTCCATTTTGCTTGAGCACCGAGTCATCCGGTACAGTCTGAATTCCTTTAAGACTTCACAGTCTGTCCAATTTTCCAGCATCATCTCTCACAGTCCCTTCCCATATACTGTATTCCAACCTGATTCATTAAAAGACCATCTGCTGCCCTGGCTGGTGTGGCTCGGTTGAGCATCGTCCCATGCACCAAGAAGGTCATTGGTTCGATGCCTGGTTGGGGTACATGCCTGGGTTGCGGACTTGATCCCCAATGATGTTTCTCTTTCACATCGATGTTTCTCTCTCTCCTTCTCCCTTCTTTCTCTAAAATCAATAAAGAAAAAAAAAAGCATATTAAAAGAGCATCTACTATGTGCCTAGCTCTGTTCTGGTTACTGCAAGTACAATAGTGAATGAAACAGGTAAAATCCCTGTTTTCATGTACCTACCTACCTTCTGACAGGGTCACAGACAATGAATTGCTAAACCAAATACAAAATATTACTAATATGTCAAGTAGTAATATGTCAATTTCTCCATAGGTTTTATGGAGAAAAATTAATTTGGTTATGAGAGATAGGGAGTACTAGAATGGGGTCAGGTGGGATAGGTGACTTGACATTTAGATAGGGTGGTAAGGGCAGGCCTTTCTCATAAAGCATCATTTGAGTGGATATTTGAAGAAAGTGAGAAAGCAAGCTACTCATAAGTGGAGACAGAGC